AATATTCAAAAACAGAGGACATCATAACACCACCGGCTCCTAAAAAGTGTAGGGTATTTTGACAACGTCTCTAAAACATAACCCATTTTGATCGGTCCTTTGATTGACATAGACTCGAGAACCCATGTTTTTTATTGAATTTAATGAAAGAAAATGATCGCATTTTCTTATAAAATGCGTGAAAATTTGCAAAATCAGAGGACATCGATGTGCCACAGCCCGATGAAAGTGCTACTCGATCTAACTGCGCTCCAACATGCTGAACATCGTATCAGCATTCACTCTATTCCGTAACGTTACTTTCGAGAACCCACTGTTTTTATTGCATGTATGGTCGCTTACTGAATGCAATTTGACATAACCGGTATGAAAATGTTCAAAAACAGAGGACATCATAACACCACCGGCTCCTAAAAAGTGTAGGGTATTTTGACAACGTCTCTAAAACATAACCCATTTTGATCGGTCCTTTGATTGACATAGACTCGAGAACCCATGTTTTTTATTGCATTTAATGAAAGAAAATAATCGCATTTTCTTATAAAATGCGTGAAAATATTCAAAATCAGAGGACATCGAAGTGCCACAGCCCGATGAAAGTCCTACTCGATCTAACTGCGCAGTGTGCTCCAACATGTTGAACATCGTATCAGCATTGACTTTATTCCGTAACGTTACTCTCGAGAACCCACTGTTTTTATTGCATGTATGGTCGCTTACTGATTGCAATTTGACAGAACCAGTATGAAAATATTCAAAAACAGAGGACATCATAACACCACCGGCTCCTAAAAAGTGTAGGGTATTTTGACAACGTCTCTAAAACATAACCCATTTTGATCGGTCCTATGAATGACATAGACTCGAGAACCCATGTTTTTTATTGCATTTAATGAAAGAAAATAATCGCATTTTCTTATAAAATGCGTGAAAATATTCAAAATCAGAGGACATCGAAGTGCCACAGACCGATGAAAGTCCTACTCGATCTATCTGCGCTCCAACATGCTGAACATCGTATCAGCATTCACTCTATTCCGTAACTTTACTCTCGAGAACCCACTGTTTTTATTGCATGTATGATCGCTAACTGAATGCAATGTGACAGAACCGGTATGAAAATATTCAAAAATAGAGGACACCATAACAGTACCAGCCCCTAAAACTGTAGAGTATTTAAACAAAGTCTGTATTATACGAGTCATTTTGATCGGTCTTTTCCTTCACTTTGACTTGAGAACCTATGCTTTTTATTGCGCGAAATGAATGAGAGTCATCGCATGTTCATTGTGCCTATTGAATGCATTATAATATGCAAAATCAGGGGACATCGATGCGTTTCAGCCTGGTGAAATGCCCAGTTGATGAATAGCTGTTTGGCTCAATTTAACACTGCGTCGGCATTTACACAGCTTCCGAACGATATGCCTGATAAGAGAACATGAATTCTTAAGTATTGCGAGCTGTGGGGCCTGTCCCTGTGTTCATACGCTATACCCATTCTGGCATAAAGAAGACATTCTTAGCTTGTAAAGATGTGTAGTAAAAATAGGTTTTTGGTCTTCTCATTATGTTTAAGTGATATTTCATTTCAAGTTGCGTATAGAGGGATTTATTTTCGGTGTTTTGTAGAAAATAAGGGTGAATTAGCTGTTACAACCAACACTTATATAACTACAAGCTTGGATAGTAGTTTCTTGGGTTAGAAGTTTTCACTACAGTGATGAAACTTTTGCACTACAATGACGAAAACGTCATCAATCGTCATCAGATATCGCTGATTTTCTGAGAGAGCACTTCCGGCAGAAGAAAACGCATTACACAAAATAATCGAAGTGTCTTCACTTGTTATTTATTACACTATGGTAATAGCTTGCTTCACTTTTGATGTGCAGTCATTCAAAGTTTGTGTCAATTTTTAGTGAACACCCTATAGTTGGTCCGGTCTGTCCGCTGTCTGCTGCTGTCGGTAGTCTGAGGTCTCCCCTGGCGGTACCTATCCACTCTTACGAGGGGGCATCGAAAAGTTCTGATCATCACCATGAATTATATGCGATATAAATTTGATTTTTTTACATGATGTTCATTATTCCTTCACAAGTCACCACACACGACCGCAAACTTATTGCATCGTTTCTTGAGCTGCCTCAGGCGGTCATTGTAGGACCCTCGCAGTGTCCCGTAAATCACTGCTCCACCTCATCAATGACGGCATTTCTGTCCTTAAATCACCGGCCATACTGTGGATTCTTCACCTGCCGTAACAATCAAGAGTCAGTCAACCCGCGCTCCACTGGGGGGGGGGGCTATTTATAGCCCCCCTCCCGTTTTTCTGCAATAACTTCCAAACTACTTGACGTATCGACGCCAAACTTTCAGTACCTTAGGCTGCATCAATTTGACACCTTGTGTCAAAATTTGAACTTCGTAACTACTATAGGTCGGCCGGAAATGACGTCAGAGTGACGTCATGTTCGGCCGATTTCGACGCAAAACATTGAACCACGGCAATCGCTCCCAAGAGCTCAGTTTTTAAGCTAGATCCAATTTCTTTGCATGAGAGGACTCAGAATCAGACATGTGCACGGATCCCAGACAACCAATCACGGAAATCGAGATGGCCATTAGATTGACGGTCTTCAAGCATGAAATTATGGTGGAAAACATGGCTCATAGAAGCCTCTCAATGAACCAACTATTTTGCATTCCTTCAGGGTTAACAGTTCTGAGAAAATCCCTCAAGATCCATCTCGGATCCATGATTCGTGGCCATGGATCCGAGATGGATCTTGAGGGATTTTCTCAAAACTGTGAACTCTGAGGGAATGCAAAATAGTTGGTTCGTTGAGAGGCATCTATTAGCCATGTTTTCCACCATAATTCCATGCTTTAAGTCCACTAATCTAGTGGCCATCTTGATTTTCGCGTTTGGTCGTCTGGGATCCGTGCCCATGTCTGCTCAGAATAGATTGCGCTATCAAACTGCTATCTCGGATTTTCGAAATTTTGAAAATTTGGAAAATTTAATATAATAAATTCCAAAATATATATTTTTACATTTTTTTTTCAAAAAGTTTTTCACTTTTCGAAAAAAACGGAATATATGTGATAGAACGCATTATTATGACTAACTCCAGCAAGTTTTAGCTAAATATCTTCAAAAATGGCCAAGTTTTACGCATCATTGCAAAAAATTCACAATTATTAATTTTTCAAATCAATTTTTCAGCACGTATTTGACATCGTACGCCAATAAAAATAGCACCATCGTGTTCCTGAGCTCAACTTGCATCCAATAGACACCTTTTTTGTTGAAAAATTTTAACTTCAAAATTTGGCCTTTTTTGACCTGAAAGTGACCTGACCTGAGCTAAATTCGACTCAAAATGACCTCGAATGACACAGACGACATCAAATTCGAAATCTCTGACCTAAATGGACCATAAAACATGTGTCACGTGACCGACGCATGATATAATATTTTCGTGACCTGTGATGACCTGACCTTGACCTGAAAATCAAAGTACAAGTTTGGTACCCTCAGGGTAACTAGAGCATCTGTTCCCGAGTGTGTGATCCAAAAATGAGCCTGATCTGACTTGTAAGACGGCGGCCAGAGCCCAAAACGTGAACAAGCCAAAATGCTAATAATTTTTACTTTGACCTGACCTGTGACGTCATCGGTGACCTCGAGGTCAATGAAATTAGGTTTCGCTCGACAGTTTTTCCGGGGCCATCAGACACCGTTTGAATTTTGACGATCGACCCAGTAGTTTCGGAGTTAGGAGGGGGGGCTATGAATAGCCCCCCCCCCCCCAGTAGGGCGTGTTATACGCAGACCCCAGTGGGGCGCGGGTTAATACCCGGTCAGGTGAATTTGTTAGATGCGGTAGGATTTAATGTCCATATGTTGTTTCTTCAATCGCAGCTCAGGACGAATGGGCGGGGGTGCTGTCGGTGAGGATAAAACATCTTTCTTGAGCTTTTTTTGCGGCGATTCTGCTCGAGGCCATCTCGCAACTTCTTCGAAAGTGTGCAGTAGTGCTTGCTAATCATTATCCGACCATCATCAAGACAGTCGGTAATGGCTATCCTACGCCAGATCCAGAACACTGATAGCATTGACCTTCCATATCGGCTTCTGCATCTTCGCTTTTTAAGAAGGACAGATGTGCCGCGCTTCAACTTCTTGATCATCTTTTTGTCTCTGGATCATACACATAGACCCAGCATTCGTCACAAGTCATCAAACGATCGAAGATGTCTTCAATTTCCTGAAAATGCCTAGTTTTCATTTTGAAAGGCCAAGACGCATTTTTCTCTTGAACAAAGTAGACACACGAACTTCTAAGCGGGCTGACTCCTTTATCGTCTGTAGTTCTTCGCTGATAATATTTTCAGGCACTGCCAGCATCGAATTCGAGACCTTTCTGTTGCACAATCGTCTGAAAGGTCAGACGACGATCTGTAAGGATAAGGTCCTCCACTTCCTTCACAGTCATCACCTTGTCAGTCACTGGTAGTCACTCACTTCTTGACTCCCCTGCAAGTGCCATGCAACAAAGTTGAAAATTATTTCTTCATTTTCGGTAAGTGCATGAGATGGGCTTTCCTCGCCATAAGCTAATTTCACGTTCTTGATGTATTTTCCCAGTGTGATACCGTTTCAAATGCATTAGTTGGATGACTGTTCGGTCCTCAATGGGCCCAATACTCATCTTTTTTACTTCTTAGTCTCTCCTACATAAGATAAAACCACTTTTCAGGATTTTCTTTGCGGGAACATTGTTCTTGAGAACCAAATAAAATACCAACCAAAAATCATCAAAATCGGTATATATCTTCTATGTGATGATCAGAACTTTTCGATACCCCCTCGTAGGTGTCTGTTAGTGCAGGCTAGTCTGGTCTGGCAGTGTGCGCCGTCAGTAGCTGCAGTATGACTCGTTCCCGGTCGGACTGTGGCTCTCCACTATCTGACTCCCGTGTGTCCTCCGCAGCCGAGCCGGGAGATCCGCGCCGGCCGGCGCCGGCTGCGGGACCGGCGGCCCGCCTTCTCCATCGTCTCGTCGCTCAACGACCGGGTGGCCGCCTTTCTGCAGGTCAGTGGACGGGCCGGACGGCGCGCCGGCCAGCTGGTCAGTCAGCCTCACAGGGGCGCGGTGGCAGGGGAGCCGGGACAGAGCTTTACGGGTGGTGACCGCCGGCCAGCTGGTCAGTCAGCCTCACAGGGGCGGGGTGGCAGCGGAGCCGGGACAGAGCTTTACGGGTGGTGACCGCCGGCCAGCTGGTCAGTTCGCCTCACAGGGGCGGGGTGGCAGCGGAGCCGGGACGGGACTGTACGAACGAGCGGTCAGCCTCACGGAGTGGGGAGTGGCAGGGGACTGGGACAGAGTTGTGCTAGATCTGATAGTGCTCGAGTGTTCGAGGGTCACGGACGGCAGGGAAGTGTTTTGGCTGTAAATGTGAACTGCCCTTGCCGCGTTTGGTAGCAGTTGTGCTTATTGGCACGGGTAAGGATAATGGCAGACCGGGTAGCGTAAAGATCGTTATCGCTCTGTTTCGCCGGCAGGATCATCAACAGAGTGTCGTATGAACTTTGTTCTGCCGTCAGGGCTCTCAGCAGACCGAGACGTGCCGTTATATTTGTTCTGTAATCTGTAGTAGTGTGGGTGTTTTTATCATTATGTCCCGCCGCCAGGACCCGCAGCAGACCGAGGTGCACCTGCAGACGGGCGGCGCCAAGGCTGAGGAGGACCAGCTAGGCCACCTGGCCAACCTGTACTCGCTGAGGGTGCGCCGAGACGCGCCCGGATCCTTCAGCGCCTTCAAGACCGGGTCAGTAGTACGAGCCGATCGGTCGGCGGGGTCATATCAGACCGGGCCAGTACGAGTCGGTCAGTCGGCAGCAGAACCTCAGGACCCGACCGGCAGCCGTGGTGGTCAGTGGTTATGCGAGGCGACTTTTATTGCGGTGACAAGTTTGCTCCCAACTTTCAGGTTTACACACAAATTTTAATTTCAACGTTATCAGCATGTGAGGACCAATAGAACGGAGCTAACGGTAGGTATAGTAAGTAACAATCTGAGGTATTTTGCTCTCCCCAATATGACGTGTCCCCCTCTGCTCCCCAGGATGACCACGCGGGGCGTGCTCGTGTCGCCCGAGTACCAGGGCCGCGGCGGCTCGGGCGACTCGAAGCGGCGCCGGCGCACCACGCCGTCCGTGTCTGTGGACCAGTTCTGCGTGCCGGCCGAGCCGCGCGGCGCGCCGTCCGTGCCGTGGCTGCAGCCGCTGCCGCTGCCGCTGGCCGCCGGCGAGGCCGGCTGCAGCCGACCTACCAGCGGCGACGGCCACACGCCCGTGCCGCCCGAGTCGTCCAGTCCGCAGACCACCGAGGAGCCGCACTCGCCGGCCAACGACGCCGAGTAGCCGACGGCGCGGAGGGTGAGGGACTGCCAACGGACAGGGGTGAGACTGGGGACGGGGGCACAGGGGGAGAGACGGAGGGACACGTAGAGGGACGCGTAGAGAGACGGCGTAAGGTAGACACAGTGAGAGAGACGGTGTACGGATAGATGGATGACAGAGGGGAGAGACGGAGGACGGGCAGAAGTAGGTAGACTGGTGATAGACGGCGAACGGTGGAAGGTGGGCAGAGGGACGGCGGACGGGGAGGGACGGACGCAGGAGCTGACAGCGAATGGATATAGACGGACGGAGAGACTGGGATAGACACTGGTGGACGCCGGGGACTCTGAGGAAGACAGACGGATGGACATTGGGTAAACAGAGGATAAGACGGCGGACGGAGGGAGGGACCTCGAGATGGCCGACACTGGGGGTGAGACGACGGACCGCCTGCTTTCCCGCCACTTTAAGAAAGTCCAGAATGCTGGCGCAGTCGTGTGTTTGGTTGCTGAAAGGTGGTCCGCAGTTGAGCCGAAACCTGAGTGAAACCCGTGATTAGTATTTATGGCTTAACGAATGAATTTTTATGATTGAAGTCTGGTGACGCGACTAGGCAGTGTGAAGTTGTGAATGGCGTGCGCGAGTGAAGCATCTACCTCTGGCTATGTAGAGCCGCGGCGGGACGCTGGTCCCGGCCCCCACCACCAGGCTGGCGCTGCCGCCAGCGCCGGGCACCCTGGTGTCGTCTCCGGTCAGCGGGTGCCCGGGCGTCGTGTACCGGTGTAGTAGAGGGACGGACAGCGGTACACCACTGCTGGTCCTGCGGGTACAGCCGTACCGGTCCGCAGCGGTCTGAATGGACCAGCCCGGTCCAACCCGTGTTCAACACGAACCAGTCCGGTCCAACCTGTAAGACAAACATGGTCCAAGACCATTAGCCAACCAAGTCCAATATATTTATCGGCGCCGCCCTGCCATTCTACAGGTCATCTCACGCGTGACATTCCTGAACAATGGAAATGGCCATAACAGTCTAGATGTTCTGCTTAGTGTACAGTGCGTCTGTAGATGTTCTGTTTTACGCCACCGGATGTCGGTGGTGGTGTGGCGGTCTTTTAGATACTACTGGTCTGAATGCCTCATCGTCCGCCACTGGTGAGCTAGTCACTGCGGCGGGACACCCACCTCTGGACAGGGCCGTGTCAGTCGGATCCCCAGGCGTGCCCGCACAGTGACCCGGGCCGCTGTCAGGCCCCACCAGTAAATCGATCAGCAGGTGCGGGCGGCGCTTCTGTGTGAAGTGTGAGAAATAATCGATACACTACCGTGTCCGCTAACAATCCGCTCAGGGGCTGCGCTCCTGATTATTGCTTGCCATTGATCTCGCTCGATACAATTTGACAGTTCGGTCGGCTATCAAAATGTTGTCCATCTGTACAGAAGAAGGGCCGTATTGTAACTACGTGTATAACAATACACATCTGCGAACGAAGTGGTTGGTGTAATATTGCAGCAGCAACGGATCTTGCAACCATTCCTTCTTGAAGGATTATATTTTAAGCGACAACTATATGGAAAGCTCGCAGTCTGCCGATCCGATACTTCGGATTGTGACCAAGGCTAGGATTAACCCTCGCCGGCCGAGGGGGGGGGGCGGGTGCCGCCCCCCCCCCATAGGGTTTTTTCGCGATAGCTCCGAACACGCTGGCGATAGAGAGCTGAAACTTGGCATACCTGACCTTTGATCCAAGCCGCATCTTTTGACACCAACCGCATTTTTCGGTCAGGTCAGGTCACTGACCTATGACGTCATAAGTGAACCTCTGCACGGTCTTCAGATGTCGCAACTTCGCAACGCCCTCACTGCCAGAGGAGATGTCACAGGGAAATGAAACTTGCAGGATCTAGTATCCATTATGAGTCTCACAACTTGTATATCTCGGATTTTTCCTAAAGGTCATATGAGGTCAGGTCATTTTCGTGACCTCACCATTATAAGTCAATGGGGAAAAATGAAAACTGCTATTCTGGCGCCGGGAACGATCTCCAACTATCTCAAGCACACAGAATCGTGATTTGATGCACTCCTTGCAAGGTTAGATGCGTCACTTTTGCAATGTTGACCTTCCGTGACGTCATTTATGACGTCATCAAGGTCATATTAGTTTTTCGTCAATAACTCCCGATCAAATTGAGCTAGCGAGTCGAGAAAGCCACCAATGGACTCAGGAAGACCTGCCGAATCGAATGATATGCGACATGACCTCTTTCGCCCAACTTCGTGACCTGGGGGTGCTGACCTGACCTTGACCTGAGGTCAACACCCCAAGTTGACCTGACCCAAACAAAAAGTATATCATTCGACGCGCCTGAGCGAGGCGAACACGATGCTGCCAAAATCGCGGCTCTGCGGCCGTTTTTTGCGAAGTTATTCACCAAAAACTGAACCGTACCCTGGGGCACTTGACCTGACCTCAGAGGTCACCGGTTGACCTAGGACCTTAAAATCGGGTACCAGTCTCTGCGTCTCGTAACGGCGCACACGTTCGTTTTTTCCGCGACGCGCTAGCTCCACCAGGGGCGAAACGGCGAGGGGGGGGGGGGTCGTACCCGCCCCCCCCCCCTCGGCCGGCGCGTATGTAGAAAACCAATAGGTCCGGCGAGGGTTAACACTGTTTATGAATTCATAACAGTGTTAATAACCAATATTCATATTGGTGTCCTGAAGGTATACTGTTGGATTCTGTTAATTATCAAGGAATACCAAACATGCCCGATGTTGATGAGACCATTTGACTATTTGCCATCAATCTTCTGTCTGGCTCAAGAAGTTTGGGTGTGAAAGACTATTCTGTTTTTGAAGGCACTCCACCAAAATATTAAAGCGGGGGCACGGTAGCAATTAATTACTTATTACAATGTTACGCCATGATTGCAATGTTTTACCGCAACAAATTGAATGAATCGCCTTTGCACAGATGGGATACGGCCACCAACCAGCATGCAGCATGTTTCGCGGGAGACTTGACGGCCGGTGAATGGGTGAGCCATCCCAGGTGCGGCAGAGGGTCGGTCGGGTGCTCTGCCCGGTTTGCAGCTCCTCTGTGTCTGCACGTGGCCCGTTTCTGGTCGCAGTGCGGCGCCGGTGACCTCCATTAGCCCAGCGACCGTGGCGGCCGCTGTCGGTGGGTGCCGGCGGGGCCGGGCGGCCGCTGTCGACCGGGCTCGGTGCAGGAGCCGGGAATCGACCCGGCCGCCGCCACTGCTCGCCCGGTCCGCCTCCTCCAGAGCCGTAAACAGACACCGATAGGTGGGGGGGGGGGGGGGGGGGGTAGGGACGGGAGGGGACAGGCTCAAGGTCACCCCACTGGGAGCCGCCCACCCACAACGAACGCGGGACTTCTTCAACAGCACTACGAAAATTCCATAGCAGAGTTGAGAGTATCGTACGCCGGCGTCCCCTCTAATACCTATTCTAACCATAGGCGTGCATCCATCCTATACTCGTTTCGTAATTGGTAGGTAATCGCAGCACCGCTGCAGCGTGGTTCCCGTCTCCATCCAAGGACTCGCGCGGCTCGGCCGTCACGGAGAGCTACATGATCGGGGAGGGGGATCGCTGCGGGGCCGGGGCGCAGTTCCTCGTACCGACCCAGGCTGCTGCGGCAGGACCGCGGAGTCGGACGGACCGGTGACGCCGGACATTGACTCACCGCTGGCCGTGACCCAGTGCCGAGGGCGGCGCCGTCCGCACCGCCCGAGTCGACCGACATTGGCGTCTGTTACTGCTGACTGACACTGCTGACTGCTGACTGACACTACTGAAACTGCCGACACTGCTGGCTGACACTGCTGACTGCTGACACTGCTGACCGACATTGCTGAATGACACTTCTGACTGACACTGCTGACACTGCTGACTGGTGACACCGCTGACTGACGCTGCTGACCGACACTGCTGACACTGCCGACCGTCACTACCGACTGGCACTGCCGACACTGCTGACTGACATCTCTGACCGACACTGCTGAACAGGGGTGTCGATTTGTGAAAATGGTTGGGGGTGCCCAGAGGCCAGAGCTTTAACCCTCACCCGTATACATTGGGGGGGGGGGGGGTCGAACGGACCCCCCTCGGTTTTTCGCGAATAACTCGCGTAGAAAGCGCCCGATCACGACGAAACTTTCAGTAGTGCCCTCGTGTTGATCAATTTTCGATGGCTTCGATAGCATTCGATAGCTCTTTCAACGCTCTTTCGCCAAAGCAGTCCTCAGATTTGACCTCAGGTCATCGGCTTAGCATAAACTCTCCAGAGGGCAAAAACTCCAGTAATAGCCACTTATGAAAAAGTTTTTTTTTTCTGCCATAGCTTTTTACTCGAGAAAGTCATGACATTTATTTTGCCAGCCATCATGTTCTTCTTATCAAGAAGCGTCGAATAAACTATAGTTTGACCTTGAAATTTCATTCGGAAATTTAACCCCGGGTCAAGGCCAAGACCTGACCGGAAAAGGTTATGTTGCATGTCAGTCGATCCGTTCAGTCGATCATCGCTCTAGCATGCGCCTACCAGAAGTTATTAACGAAAAACTGTTGGCTCCCTTTTGTGAACTGAGATGACCTCAGGGATATAAGGAAGGGTCACGTCATTTTCACGTCGGGTGTCATTTTCCAGTTCAGTGTGTCATGTTGAATTGTTAATAGGTGTTTGGAAGTGTTGAGAATGTCGTCCGTCCAGAAAAAAACGCATTTTAATTTCCTTCCATTGACACTGATGATAGATATCGGACTTTCGTCCCCGTCTTGAGGTGAGATGTTCGTTTGTCTGGCCGCTATGTCTGCCTCGAGCGGTGGAGTATTGGTTACAACTGCCGCCTATCACCGGGGCAACCCTAGATCATTTCCCGCTGACCACAGGAGCTTTCGATAAGGTATGACGCGTACGGCGCAACGACACCAACACCCAAGATCTTTCTATGGACCAAAGAACAACTGACGACGGCCGGAGAAGTGACTGGCCGAAATGTTGTGAAACTAACATCTCAACTCAAGACGGGAACGAAAGTCCGACAACTAACATCCGTGATACTAATGTATGTATGTATGTATGTATGTATGTATTGACACCAAAAGCCTTCCACATATGGCGTGGCGATTTAATGCCTCGTCTCAAGCATTCCGAAGAATTATCCCATGGACTTATAGCCTATAGGTAATGGGGATGTGGATGTGGCAAAATTGACCTGACCTTAGGTCACCGGTATCGAAGTTTCGAGATATACATTTTGTACAAACTGTTGGCCTTATCAATCGGTGAAATTTTCAAAGCAATCAGCCACTGGGTGTGGGTATGACAGACATTGGTACTTCAATCGTTATTCGTGAAAAAACTGTCTACCTTAAGCGCCGCTATTTTGACTTGCTTACCCCGGTGACGTCATTTTTTACCTGACCTGAAAATGACCTCAGTACAAATTGTAGACTTTGTCCGTTTGTATCCCATGCCATTTACCGCTTGTTTCTATCTTGCTTCGTTCGCTTGATATCACGGGGCACGGTTCGTCGGAAGGTCATCTCAGGCTCAAAAGAAACGGTATATACCATTCGAAAGCTGACAGTGAGCTGAATTCAAAAATGTAATTTTTATCAAAATCGATCGATGGTCTTTTTTGAAAATTGCGTTTTTGTAAAAAAAATTATAATTTTTTATTCATCGGGCTGTCCCGGGCATTCTTGAAAACATAAACATGTTTTTTCGAGTTCCAGTGAAAGCTGAACGCCAAAAGAACGATATTTAGCGAAGCAATATTTCCTAACAAATATGTGTCTCCCACAGCCAACAATAAGGCGCAATTACACAGCGCAGTGTCACGATGGACCAAAGTCAGCCACACAGAAGCGTGAAATGACCCTTATCGACTCGCAGACCCGGCATTCTCGGCCCACCCGACCGACCACGGAAGGAACGTTCGGCTCTCGTTCTATAAATAAATGTCATATTTGTCAGTTAAACTGTCCACATCGCTATTAAAGTTATTCAGAATACTTGTGAAGAAAATTCATTGTTCTGCTTGATTTACAACATGCTTAAATTTACATTTTTCTTATACATGTTTTGTTCCATCCAGCTGCGCTCAGTGCCCGCGCAGGGGAAGTGAGCGGGGTATCACTGTCAGAGGCTGTACTGGTGACAACTGCTCGGCCGTGCGACCGGTCAAAGGTTACCCTGCCCCACCGGGCGCTACCCCCACTCCACCCGAGCTGAGGCCGGTGCAACCTCTGACATTTCAGCGCGGCCAATTTTCCTTATATGGGCATGCTACCAGGCTCAATTGAGCAAAGTAGACATGAACAAATGCAAATTAATGCATGATGTGAAGATGACAGAGCAATGAATCTTTTGCTCATGTATCCTGAATAACTCAAGTACCGACTTGAATAGTTAAACTAACAAATATGACGCCGTTTAGTAGAACGACAGCCGAACCTCC